GTCTATTCTAACTCATAACCCCCCCCCAAAAAAAAATTCCTGCTCTAATACACCCAACAAGTAATCATGTTATTTATTGGTCATACTCTGTATTTGAATGTATTGACATCTGAAGCCATAGGTGGTGTTACTGCCCCTAGATATTATCTTCTATGAATTCCTTCCTAAGTCATGTGTACTATCTAGCTTGGTATATTGACTTGGCTGTAATTTTTTTTCCCTGCTCCATTTTCATTTTAAAGCTTTTAATCAGAATTTAAAGTCTCTAGGCAAAATATTTTTCATGTAGCCGTCTCAGGAAGGCCATTGGTAGAGTAGGAAGTCTTTTGTCAGTAGGTCTAAGCAGGGCATTAGTCTCTTACTCTTAAGCTCCCAGTAAATAGTATATAAAATCATGAAGGCCTGAATTTCTAGGCTGGTATTTCAGTAAATCTATTATATTAACACTGGCAAAACAATGATATTGGGAAAAGGAGAAAAAGGAAATAGGGTAAGAACTCTTCATAATGGAACGATGAGGCTCAGGGGTTTTGGTTTCCTGAGTGGCTTTCCTTGTGTCCTTGGGGAATTCATGCTTCAGGCTATGCTGAAAACTGCTGGAGGTCTTAAAAACAGAGAACAGCAAAGAGGTGAGTAAGGATGATTCTCTTACAAGGACAACAACAACTGTGTTCTTGATAGCATCTTATGAATCCTTTTCCTGGTTTTTTTTCAGACATAGCTTTATACCTGTCTCAGAGTTTATGAAGTCCTGAGATTTGGAATCATTCCCCATTCCTTCACCCTTAACCCCATCCCCTACCCATCACTAGCCAAATCTTTTCATTTCTACTTCCAAAACATCTTTTAGATAGTCTTTTACCTGTTGCTTCTTTTCTATTCTGACAGCAGTCTTTCCATTTGTATTTCCATATATCCTTCTCAGTAAGGCCAGACAGTTTATCTGTGGAGCAGGGAGTCAGCATCTTTGTCAAGAAACCTAAGAAAAGTACCAGTGTCTCTCTTGGTCTCCTAGTAAACAATATATCAAAATTAGAAGTGCCTGAATTTCTAGGCCCTCTCGTAACACCTTGCCTGGATTATTGTAATAGTCCCATTACTAGTTTCTTGCATCCAGTCTTTTCTTTCTGTAGCCCATTCTATATGCAGCAGCAAGAAGCATCGTTAGCTGAGTAATTGATGTTACTGTTTTTCAGTAGGGGCCAACTCTTTGTGACCCCCTTATAGAGTTTTCTTGGCAAACATACTGGAGTGGTTGGCCATTTCCTTCTCCAGTGGATTAGGGCAAAAAGAGGTTAAGACACTTGCCTAAGGTCACACAGGTACTAAGTATCTGAGGCCATGTTGGAACCCTGGTCTTTCTTACTCCAGGCCCAGAGATCTGCCCACTGAACCATCCAGCTGCCTCTTGCCTGAAAAATATCGTTTTTTAAACCTCTTATTTTAATTTAATTTAATTTTGCCTCCCTTCTCTCTTGTCCCTCCCCTTTATTAGAAAAAAGAAAAACAAAATCCTTGTAACAAATGTCCATAGTTAACAAACCAAAAATTCCCCCACTGGCCATGTCCGAAAACACGCTGAGTTCATTTCATCTCTGTCAGGAGGTGGATGGCATGCTTCATCATCAGCCCTCTGGAATTTTGGTTTGTCATTGCGTTGATTAGAGTTGTTAAGTTTCAGCCATCTTTCCAATATGCATGTCTGACCATGGCTTTTTTCAGTGATCTCTCATTCCTGCAAAATAATGTTTACATTCCTCTTCCCAGCAATTTAGACAGTTTAAAATCTTTGTTTCAATCTAACTTTCATGCCTTATCTCATACTGCTCTCCTCAGGTACTTTTTTAATAGCTAAATTGGGTTTCTCATTGTCTCTTATTTTCTTCTTGCTCTGACTCTTTTCCATGCTTTTCTTTACCATATTGCCAAACCTGGGATTATGTTATAAAATATTTTAAAAATTACTGTGGCGTAATAAAGTAGTTCACACACACGGGCGCGCGTGCGTACACACACACACACACACACACACACACACACACACACACACGCATATATATAACACTTTAGTGTTAAGAACTTCCTTCACAGCAGCCCTGTGATTAAGATACTATCCAACCTAAGTGGTAGCTGGGTGGTGCAGCAGATAGAGTACCAAGCCTGAAGTCAAGAAGACCTGAGTTCAAATCCAGTTTCAGAAACTTATTAGCTGTGTGATCCTGGGCAAGTTCATGTAACCCTGTTTGCCTCAGTTTTCTCATCTGTAAAATGATCTGGAGAAGGAAATGGCAAACCCCTCCAGTTTCTTTGCCAAGAAAAACCCTAAATAGGGCCATGGAGAGTCAGACATGACTGAAAATGACTAAATAACAAGAACAACCACCATAAAATCCAGCCTAAAAAAGACTTTAGTGGTAGAACCCTTCAGGCACTGTAGCAGGTCTGTAAAGGAAATCTCTTTAAGGAGGTGGGCTGGCTAGCTGGTCAGATTCAAATCCCAACAGGCAAGAGGTCAACTATACATAGCTGTGCTGGTATAAGACCTCATCTAGAAATATTAGTGTAATTTTTTTAATGAACAAAAGCCAATTTTCTCACCTTCTCCACCCCCCACTCCCCTCTAAGGAGAAAAAGAAAAAGAAATCTCTTGTAATAAATATGCATAGTGGAGATTAATTTGGAATGGGAAATTTCCCACATTACATGTTATTAAACACTTGTCTCTTTCTTGGTGCAAGATCTCTAAAAAGCCAAAGCCATCGATGACTCTTCACTGTTGCGTGATGAGTTGAAGTACCCACCTGTCTTTGTATACCAGAAGATGGTACTGCTACTAAATGGTCACCTGGCTGCCTCAAGACATGGTTTGAGACATAAGTGGCAGAGAGTTAGCATGATCTTATCACAGGGGATTGATATGTGGTAGTAGCAGAAGGTACTTCCTCCTTGGGAGGAGACTTCTTGGCCATTCGTACAGACCAGCCCCTGAGCCTTGCTTGCTGGTGCCTTATGCTTCCGCTGCCCTAATAACAATAGTAATAAATATAAATATAATAAAGGGCTAACATTTATATCATGCTCACTATGTATGTGCTAGGCACTTTACAATTACTGTTTCATTTTAACCTCACAACACGGGGAGATAGGTGCATTATAATCCCCATTTTTTTTTTTACAGGTGAGAAAACTGAGGCAAACAGAAATTAAATGACTTACTCACTTAGTCACAGCTAAGAAGTGTTTGAGGTCACATTTGAACTCAGTTCTTCCTGACTCCAACCCCGGCTCTCTATCCACTGTGCTACCTAGCTGCCTTCCCTTTCCTTGGGTGACTGCATCCCTATCCTTGATGCCTACATCCTCCTCATCTCCTCCCTACCCCTTCCCCAATTTGTGCTAGTGAAAGATCACTGAACTTGAAGTGGAGAAGACCTGAGTTCAGATTCTGCTTCAGACATTTAATAGCTGTGGGACCATGGGAAACCTCTCTCAGCCTCAGTTTTCTCATCTGTAAAATAAGAATAATTATAGTATCTACCTCATAGGGTTGTTGTGAGGATCAAGTGAGATAGTAATAACAATAAAATAGCACTTATATGACTGTTATCAATTTACAAAGTACTTTATATAAGCATCCTATGTAAGAGCTTTGCAAACTTAATATGCTATATATATATATATATATATATATATATATATGCTAGTGAGATTGCTAGGTTCATTCCTTTGATCTCCCTTTAAACCTCCTGTCTAGGAGATTACATTGGTGAGATGTAGGTCCAACTGATGGGCCTAGGGTGGAATTTATGCTGCAGGAGAAATTGGATCCATTTGTCGGCCCCTGTCTTACTGAAATACTTTCTTATTATTAACCCTCACCATGCATGAACCTTGCTTGTGGCTAATCCCACCTTCTAGATTATCATGCACTATTCTCCCTCTGTTATACATCCTATTTCTCCAACTGAAATCCCTTTCCAATTCCTCCCAGCCTGCAAAGTCCCCTTTCAAGTTCTCCGTTAAAGTCTTCATCATGGTTTGGAGGTGACTTGAGAATCTTTGAGTTGGGAAGAGAACTTGGCATCTACTCTAACCCACACGTGAATAGTAATCACTTCAACAGCATACCTCATGAGGAGTCATTGAGCCTTTGCTTGAAGACATGCAGGGACAGAGAGCTCACTACCTTTAGAGACAGCTCTTTCCTCTTTGGTGGATCTTGAGTTGTTAGGAAGTTTTTGTTTTTCTTCTTTTCAAGCCTAAACTAACGTTTCTGTTTGTAATTTCTACCTGTTACTCCTACCTCTATTCTCTGGGACTGAGCAGAACAAGTGAAATCCTTCTTCCACATAACAAAATGGCTTCCCACCTGGATTTCCTTTCTTGGTCCTTCCTTTTGAGTTCAAGAACTTGGGTTCAAATCCCATCTTTGCTACGACTATCTGTCCCTCCCCTCTCCCCTCTCCCCACCGCCTCTCTCGACCCCAGTGAAAATATTCTTTGTTACATTTCTAGGTATAAGATAATATGTGTAAAGTGCTTGGCACCTATTAGGTACTGTAGAAATGCTTTTTCTCTCCTCCATACCTCCATCTCTATTCCCACAGCACCTCCTAGAGTGTTCTGCCTAGGGTGGGTACTCACTGAATATCATCGATTTGAAATTCTCAACAGTTCAATTTCAAATCAAACAAAGGTAAAGCTAATGAAGAGGAGTTGCAGTTTCTTGCCCCTGCTCTCCCTCAGTTTCTTTAGCAGAAGTTCAAAGGGCAAGAGTCCAGTTGGAAGTCCATTATAATTCTAAACAAAACCAATTTCATATGCCGAGGACAGTAAAATATGAGTTGCTGATACATGTTTGATCCATATTGTTCTTCTTTACCAGGATTTTGTTCCTCATTTCATAAACATCGATCGCTTTTCTGTATCACCTGTGAAGTGTTTTCTTAGCTCTGACTGTGTGTGGACATGCCTGACATTTATCCTTTTGTTTCTGCCAGGCTTTGTGGAGCTCAGCCTGTACGATCAAGTGAGGCTTTTAGAAAGCTGCTGGATGGAAGTGTTAATGGTGGGGCTGATGTGGCGATCAATTGATCATCCTGGCAAACTCATCTTTGCACCAGACCTTGTTCTGGACAGGTGAGAAAAATATAAATTGTCTCTTCTGACTAAGGTCTGTCTGTAGCACTTAGTGAAAAGGAACCTGGCTACTAACCCTGCAATTAAAATCTCACACCTGAAAGTGCAATTAGGCGATGCTAATGTCATAAGCTCCTTTACTGGGTCAAGAACTCTAGACTTAGAGAACATTGTCACAGGTTTCCAAAAACCAACTGAATCTTTTTTTTAAAAAATCATGTTGTTAGATTACATGATAATATAATGGCCAAGTTTTCCAAAGTTTGACCAATGGTGTATTAAACATAAAAGTAAATTATATTTTGTGAAATAAACCGTTGATCAACTATTTAGGTCTATTCAAATTTTTTTCTGTATTAAAAATTGTTTTCAACCTATACCTCCCGTATAGGTCACTGCTTATTCTTTCCACCTACTGCTTAATTACCATAAACTGGCTGAGTTTGGGGATGAGGATTTTGGGGGGAGGGGAGTAGTAAGGCCTGCCTTGCTTGGATATTCAGGCATTGTTTTGGGGAAATTATTATTGTTGTTGTTTTTGTTAATAATACTAATGATACACATTCAGAGGTTGATTTGTGTACCATGAAATGCATTCTCCTGAATATTCAATTATAGGTCAAACATTGTTTGGGGGAAATTATTATTATTGTTGTTATCATTAAGAACAATAATTATAAATACCCAGAGGTTAAAATGCAGTATTTGGCTGATTTAAAGAATCATAGAACTTTAGAGCTGAAAGTATCCTTTGAAATCACCCAGTACAAATTCCTTATTTTATAGATGGGGAAGCTGAGACCCACAGAGGTTAAGTGATTTGTTCAGTGTCATGTAACTTATTAGTACTGGATGATAGAATGGTGTACTAGACGTCACTGGTACTAAACACAGGAGATAAACTTTTTAAAAATTCAATTTTATCTTATTTTCCCCAAAATCTACATTGTCTCCCCCATCTCCTGCCAGAAAGCAAGAAAAATAAAACCTTTGTTACAAACATGTATGGCAAAGCAAATTCCCATATTAGCCATGTCCAAAAAAAAGCCTTAATTTGTATTCAGAATCCATCATCTATCTATTAGAAGGTGGGAAGCATGTCTTGTCAGGAGTACTCTATAATCATGGTTCATCGTTGTGTTGAGAGGAATTAGGAGATGTAAACTGATTCCTGTGCTGGTCACACGCTAGCTATGGGGCCCTAAGCAAATCACTTAATCTCTTTTGCCTCAGTTTCCCCGTCAGTAAAATGGAGATAATAATATTTGTACTACCTACCTCATTGAGTTATTATGAGGAAAGCCCTTTCCCAAACTTAAAGGACTACATGAAAATGAGTTTATAGTAGTAATAGAGCCTAGAATAGGACTTAGGTCTTTTGGCTCCCAGTACATTGACCTTACCATGGTACATCATTCTGTGTTTAGTAAACTTGGCACCGCTCTTAGGTTTAGTAAAATGGTGTTCAATGGACCCCTTTGCTGTACAAACTCTAAATATATGAATTAGCCCTGTAGACTAGGAGAAAAAAAGATCCCTGACTGAATCTATTGGAAACATTTTTTCTAGCTACCCTGCCCACGTTGAATAGTGGAATCCTGATGTATCTAAAGCATTTGTGGTCTGATTAGCATAGAGCTAAATATAAATGACATCACTTAAATATAACTAGATTCCTAGTCTCTATTCAGTTCGGCCAAGTCCTCAGTCACGCAGATTGAAGTTGCGTTGATTCACCCATAAACACTTTATATTCAATGACTAGTGTTTCTGTCTGTGAAGTATTTTGCCACTTCACAGTTTCAGTGTATATAAACATAGGTTTGTACAAAGAATGGGCTCTAGGTATAAGTAACATATGGAATGGTGTCCGTGGCTGCTCGCAGTTTTTAACACCACCCCTGGAGCTCTGTGCAAACTCCACAAAGTAGGCAACCTCTTGCTTGCCCTGGTCCCTCTAATGCCTTTCTAGTATTCCTCTCCCCTTAGACACCCAAGGCTCATATGCTGCCTCCTAGCTGTCCAAAGCCTCCCACACAGACATTTTGATTAAGTCTTCCATCCCCTCCCTGCCATGCTCAGGACGATAATCACACTGGGGCATTGGAGGCAAATTTGAGTAGTGCCCAGGTCCCAACCAGAAGTTTGCTCTCATGCTTCTCACTGTCTACTGAAGAAGCCCCTAGTTTCCTGTTAATGCATCAACTTGTGACATAGTATAATGTGATTTGCCCTGCTGAACCTTGGCCCTTTTCTCTATCTAATCGGTGTTGGAGGCAGCTCAAAAGCCACCACTTTCTTAGTGCAGGTTCAACACTGGAATGAAACAAAGTACTCATTAGTCATTTCATTCCAGCCGTCAACCTGAACTAAGAGTGGTGGTATTCGGAAGGAGGTACTTGCAAATTAGGACAGCTAGATGGCGCACTAGGCTTGCAATCAGAAGAATTGTCGTCAGTTCAAATCTGGTCTCAGATACTTATTAGCTGTGTGACCCTGGGCAAGTCACTTAACCCTGTTGACCTCAGTTTCCTCATCTGCAGAATGATCTAGAGAAGGAAATGGCAAACCTCTCTAGTATCTTTGCCAAGGAAACCTCAAATGAGGTCACGACAAGTCGACGCAACTGAAACGACTCAGCGACAGTTTGCAGGTCATTGAACGGTTAACAAAAAGGAAATTTACTTTGCCCTAATACGGCAAGGATACACAACAAAGATACAGTGGCACTTAACTTTGTTGGACTCTGATCCCCTCCTCTTCTCTTTGTTAAGAGAAGAAACGCATTTGTTTCTCAGGGAGGGTACAGTGGAAGACAAGGTGACTTGAGTGGTCTTCAGAAAGCCACTAAGTCAGGAGGAGTGACTGCATGTGAGTGGGACTTTTTATGCTTGTAGGTGACCAGGAAGTCAGGTCAAGGAAGCAGGGATCCTGGGACTGCTCTACCTCATCTTAGAGATCCTTGCCTCAGGAAGGAAGGAGGAGGGTGAATCTAACCCACATTGTGGAGAAGTGCTGGTAGACACTAGTCCTATTACAGTCTACGTTAGGAGAGGGTGGCAGGTCTCAGGCAAAACTGCAACAGAGGTAGTTGTCTTGTCCCTGTGGCCTCTGCCTTCCTTCAGCGGGGTAAAACAGGTAAAGAATGTGTTTCCCCTACTGCAGGGCACTGTCACAACATGTTGTAATCATAAGACAGGCTTAGGACGGGGGTGGGAAACCTGCAGCCTTGAGGCCACATGTGGCCCGCTAGGTCCTTAAGTGCGGCCTTTTGACTGAATCCAAACTTCAGAAGTTTCAGAAGATTCACATTCAGTCAAAAGGCTGTACTTGAGGACCTAGTGGGCGACATGTGGCCTTAGGGCCAAAGGTTCCCCATCCCTGTGTTAGGAAGTAACCACTTCAGAAAGTCATTTTTATTTACAAGTGTGGTATAATGGAGAAAGCATTTTAGTTGCAATGAGAATACTCAAGTGGGAGTTCTCAGTCTGCCATTTATTTAGTTATATGATACTGGATAAATTGATTCACCTCTCTGGGACTCATTTTTCTCATCTGTATAATGTGGTGGTTGTTCAGTTATTTTAGTCATCAGACCCTTCATGACTGGGGTTTTCTTGGCAAAGATACCAGAGTGGTTTGCCATTTCCTTCTCTAGCTCATTTTACAGAAGAGGAAACTGAGGCCAATATGGTTAAGCAACTTGCCCAGAATCACACAGCTAGTAAATGTCTAAGACCAGATTTGAACTCAGGAAGAGGAGTCTTCCTGACTCCAGGCCCAGCACTCTATCTACTGTACCACCTAGCTACCTAATGTGGGAGTAGGACCAAATGATGACTAAGGACCCTTCCTGTTCCATGTTTCTTGTTTTTAAATCCATATTACTTCTTTTTTTTTTCCTCCAAATATATCTTCCTATCTCACTTGGTCTAGAATTGCAGGAACTACCAACTGGCCTGCTCCCACTCTGATCTGATCTGCTGTATTTCCCACCTAGGCCCATTTGACTCCCTTCCCCAATATTAATGCCAAACTTAGTGTGGATACCTGATCAACATAATTCGCTGTAGCTCAGAACTCTAGAACTCAGGAGCTCCACCAGCCTCAGTCTCTCCAGTAGCTGGGATTATAGGAATGTACTACATTGCCTGGCAAAATCCATATTACTTTGGCTAAATATTTTAAAAAGGCAGAATATTCAAATACCCTTGAGAGGCCTTGGGTTCTAGTGAAAAGGATGCTAAACTTAGAATCAAAAGATCTTGGTTCAGATCCAACCCTGGACACTTATGACTAATGTGACTCCGGATAAGTCTGTTTCCTCCATTGAAATATGGGGCTGAGGGAGAGAATTGAACTATATTATCTCTAAGGCCCTTTTCAGTGCTAAATTTATGATTGTGTTTGTGTGGAGGGAAAATGTTGCTACCTTTGACTGCTAAGAATTGTATATGCATTCAGACGGTATCTTGTGTAATTTCTGGTATGTGCCTTTTGGTGAAGTTCCAGCAGTTGCATTATTATCTTTTGGAATTTGGCCTTTCAGCCTACATCCATATTTAGTACATCCATTCTACCTCATTTTATACAGAAAGTGCATTTATGTAATGTCTATCTAAAGCTGTGTATTTAAAATCCAGTTTTTTTAAAGGAAGGTAATTTACTTTTCATAGGAAGAGAATTATAAATTGTTTGGCAAGGTGAATAGACATCCACTATTCTTTTTGTAAATCCTGATTTTCAAATCAGGTTTGCTTAACATAGGAGTTCACCTATTTAGGTAATGGCTAGCTTGTTTAAGGGTATTAAGACTTGAAGCAACTTATAATGTCCTCCCTTTATGCTTGCTGAGAGAAAAGAAGAAAGATTGAATCTACTGAAGAATGGACAGACAGGCCAGTCTTCTTAGCTCATTTCTGGCAAAGCAGTTTGTCCTGTTAGGAAAAGGAGTCACATGTATTTATGAAAGTCTGCAGTGAAAGCTGAGCTCCTCATTA